CCATAGAACGTCATGCCCAGTATAGAAACTGGGGCAGGAAGAGTGGGGGACACACATTCAGAGTGATGGCATTTGTCTTCCTAAGTAACCATTCTGTGTGACGGAGCCCTGCTTTCCTGGGGGTTGGTGAACACCTGCCTGCCCATGTGAAGTGGGGAATGAATTCCTTATTTTTGCTTTGCTTGCATGTGCGGCTTTTGCTTTACCTATTAAACTGTCTTCATCTCAACCCACAAGTTCTCTCACTTTTACCCTTCTGATTCTCTCCCCCATCCCACCAGAGGGAGCGAACGAGTGGCTGCGTGGTGCTTAGTTGCTGGCTGGGGTCAGTCCTTTTGGCGCCCAGCGTAGGTCTCAGGATAACACAGATTTGATTGGGATGTGCTAGATGGAATTTGCTGTCTCTTTCATCTGTGTAAGCATTGTCTGACTCTTAAGGCTCCCCGTGTTGTTACAGCTGACCAACATTTATGATGCAAAGATGGAACAACTACATATTGGGCCTTATTTCTGGAGGCCTTTCCCACATGTGGATTTCTGGTTGGAACAGGATGATAAACAGATTTTGCAGGTACCTGAAACTGATGGAGTTCTGTTTTTTTCCTTCTAGCTGAGTAGAGAGGGGGGTATGGTCTGTCAAAACTTTTCCCAGTGTGCTGCTGGGGAAGCTGGGAAATAATCTTAGTGAAAGGCAGAATAATTGAGAACTCTGTATTCTGAATGTCAAGCAGCTCTTGCTACCATCTTGTTTTTCAGAATCTTTCCACATCACCCCTGGCTGAGCCACCCCACTTTGTTTCCCACATTAGATCTACATTAGCATTTTTAAAAGAACATCCCTTTCCATCTCGCTCACTGTTTCCTGACAGGAAACCTCGCATCTACAAAAAAAATGAAGAAGGTTTGTGGGAACAGGTTTGTTCTGACAAGGTCTAACCCGGAACCAAAGACCACAACTGCTTTAGGGAAGTACAGTCTTGCAAGAAGAGCAATTTGTTGCAAAAAGCATATTGCTGGTCACAAATACCATTGTTCCTGTGCTTTTCAAAATAAAATACTTTGACAGAAGTAACTTGCTGTTTCTGCGTTACTTACATAGGAATCGCTGCTCCTTTGGAGTAAGACTTTGGCTTTGTTCAAGTTCTGTTTCTCCATTGCAGTCATTTGTTTGACAGCAGTGCTGAGGGCTGAGTCTTTAGAAAATGATTTTCCACACAAAGTGAAAAAGTTGTACACACTTAAAGCATACTGAAATATAGGGAAGTATCCTTCAACAACAACTTAGTTCAAGAGTAATAATTTGAAGACTCTTTATTGAAACATTCAGATAGTATCTAAAGAATGAAGCTCATTCCAACAAAACTACTGGTTTAACACTTCCAAATATAAAAACATTAAAAATCAATCCTTGTGGTGATAACTTTATCCCCAACAAATTACTCTTATTAACATACTTCATTGCACCAAAGAAACCAATGAGGAAGACTAGTCAACTTAATTGGTTTTGTACTTTAGAAAAATTGCACTCTGATTTACATAAATTACCCAACAATTAATGGCATCCCAGCCCCCCAGGGTCAATTCAGCACAATTCAAAAACCCCACATTTTTCAGATGATCAAAGTCAGTCCCGCTACCACTACAGCCATTATGGTGTTCATGTATACCTTGGGGGGGGGGGGGGGAAAAAACCA